ACAAATCTTTGTAAATTCTAAAATTTTTAAACTGTCGTTAAATCTTTCCTTTACGCATTTAAGGGCTCAAATTGCCTTTACGAATTAAAAGGAGATTTGAGACCTGTAATGCTTATTAAGAAAATATTTAATGACAATTTTGAAAATTTCGAAATTGCAACGATTTGTATGGAAAACCATGCATCTCATACAAATTTATCTCATACAAATGCTTCCAACTTTCGGCGGCCGTTGCTATCGCTACTTTTGAGATATACGGCTGAAAATTCTCAGGTTACCTAATTTTAATATGCTCTTTCAGCTTGTGATAACAAAATCTTTCAAAAGTGCATTGTTTTCGTGTTTACCGAAAGTTGATCACGTGATCAAGTCATGCAAAGAGCCTATTTCTGTCAAAAATAAATCGCACACGACCAGATCTCAGTTCCACTTCCTTTATTTCCTCTACAACAACACTTTCCTTATGTACAGTTAACTCCCCACCTTCTCCAGCAACGTAACTAACATCAGTACATTCCTTTACAAAACTTGCTGAAAATGCACAATCTCCACGCAGGGGATAATTCAGGTACAACGTCGCAAACTATATACGAGATAAATACCGAGAACGTAGGCATTAATCCATACATATATACATCCCGAGCGCCGTAGGAAACTCTAATTTAGCATAGTTGTCGGCGAGAAAAAGAAACTTTGACTATTTAATATTCTTCATTGACGCTTTGCGTTGAATAACGACTTACTAGCTGTTGCGCACATCTAAAAGCGTGAGCAAATTCTTTTATAACATAGCTGACAAAAATGCTTGCTTTTTGATTAACTGCCAAATTGTCGTAACCCTCTCCACAGAGAAACAAACGCTTCTATTGACTGGTTACAAACACGCCACAATCGCCTAGTTTGAAGGAAAATTCTTTCTGTAAAACTGGGAAAGAAAATTTGCTTATGTATTCGTTAACGATCAATTGAAACTAAGCGGAAACAAAGATGAAAGTGTCTTCAAGTCCACCTAAAGTTAAAATATTCACATGTTCGTAAGACGTCGTGGAGTATGGTTTGGATCCGGCGCTGAGAAGATGTTTATGTTTTGCTCGGCGAAATCCAGAAAACTTGTTTTTTAGCGAAGATGACTGTCATCCTACTTTATATTCATTTACGAACAATGGCTGGTCATCACGGCTTCTTGAGAAGAGCTGGCAGCAGTTGTTTTTGTGAGTAATAAATTTATGTCTTCTTTTCCTGATTTTAGTCGGATTGTTCGGTGATAACAAAAGTACATAACAAATTTAAAAACAACAATAAAAACGGAAATTTTACCCTTAAATGTTGTTAATGGCCAATTGGTGTCTTTTCTGTTCCCAGTGAATGTCTTTCGGCCAATAATTGCTGCAGCTGGTCTTCCGACAAATTTGCGAAACCCACAAATTGAGAGTTTTTTTGAATTCGGCTTTATTTATGCTGCTTGTTGGATCAGGACCTAAAAGGTCAATGCCGATTGAAAAATTTGGCAGTTCTTCGCTGGTTTCTTCCCGAATATTTTAAAGAGAAGGAAAACTGCACTGCAGCTTAATGTAAAAGACGACAACTTTGCAGCCAGGTAAAAAAATGCTCACGCCATCTTATATAATAGGAAAATAAAGATTTTGTTCATTGCCGCTCAGTAAGAGTTATATAGGGCAAGCACGCGCGCTATGATATAATTTTCCGCTAACATCTGATTAGATTATGACAGAAACTCATAAGGGGTTGAAACGTGTAACTCTCATATGTTTGCTTTGTCCGATGCTCGTGATTATTCATTTTCGAAAGTATCATATTTGGAACGAGAAGAAGAGATAACTGACCAATCAAACCTCGTAAACAACGTGACGTAATTTTACTTCAGGTTCCCGCGCCCGCTTGAAAAAAATGGCCGACAAACAGGGGAAAAACTCCCGAAAGCCGAGAAAGCTTTCAAAGGTTGAAACCAGGAATCTTACCAAAACACTGAGCAGGATATCATTGCCTTACCACCCGGGCCAAACATAACATTATGAAACTCATTGACGCCCTCGCGACTTCTTGAAGTTGTCACTTCAAATAACGATGCTCGTTGACCCTCTGCACAGTAAACTTATACTGCAAATAGGCTTTTAAAATTCTTATATTAAAAGTCTAGAATAAACGGTAAAAAATATTTTCAAATAAAATTCATTAGCTGCGTATCGAAAAGTGTCCAAAACCTGAACCTGACATCTTCGCAAAAACAATAGACAGAGAAGCCGTTTCTTGAAAATTTTTATTCAAAATGCAAAAAGTTAATCCTTTAACGCAATTCGGAAAACACTATCTGGATCGTGGATCCGTTCACGCAAGTGAAATCGGCTGAGCACATGGCAAAACTCCAAAATTCAAAACAAAATCCATCTCAAATCGCGGCACATTTTGTAATTTTTCTTCAGCGCCGAAGAGAAAAATTTATGAAACCTCTATGAAACATTTAAAAATACATAAAGTCCCTTTCAAAAACGTAATTGTCTTGGCCATAGAGTGCAAAGTGTACCTGAAAATTCCGCAAAAACTTCACTTCCTTGGTTGCATTTCAAAACAGACCATGCGCTCTGTCGTGAAGAAAACAAGGTTGAATTCCTCGAAGGACGATTTCTTGATGAAAAGCTTCTCTTTCTCCACAAGAAGAAAGCTGAGCATTCTTTTGAACTTTCTCTTTCCATTTTTTGTCTTTTGACGGTGTATTTTTAACCTTGAAACACAGAACTCCTCTCTTAAAACATCTGCATGGTGATCGCGTGGCAGCCATTTGTTGAAAATGGATATCTGTCACTAAGGTTTCCAAATATGGTAAAAGCGAATATTCACGAGCATTGAACGCGAGTGAAACGTTTCAACCCCTTATGAGTTTCTGATTATAAAAGAAAGACAACCAAATCGTGATGTGATGCATCAGACCATTTTGGCTACATTTAATATATCAGCTATGTTTTGCATTGTTACTGTTGAGTAAGATTTTATTTCTATACCTGCATTGTATTTTCCGTTCCATATTTGCAGTACACATTGACATTGTTGACAAATTAGCTTTCTTATCTGAGTAACGGAAGCTTTTTACACAATACCCTCGATAAGGGATCCTGTCCAGTTCCAGAGGAATGGAACATTCTCAGTAAACCTTTCTGCTTTCATGGGCAAGAGGGGTAGATGCAATATTTAAATCAATTGAATGTAAAATGTTGAGTGAATAAATCATTATTTCACGAGTGAGAAGTCCATTTAAGTGGAATACTTTAAGTGGATGACTTGAAACTCATGTTTTGGACTGCAACGTTAATCTTGAAAGCTCGTTGTAAAGATTTTCGATTATTCTCCCACAAAGCTGTCTAGTTCCAGGTATGATATGGCTGAAATACAAATCCGCCGCGCTTTTCCCGGGCGTATTTGCAGCTTGGCAGCCAGGCTCGTACCCAGACTCCTGCCATTCCAGAAAAGTTCGTAAAAATAGCATCTGCAGTCTGGAGTACGGGAGTGCAAGTTTGATGCTCAAACATCTCCCTGTCAGTTGTCTGAAGTACTCAGTGCTAGAAAATTACGCCTAAGTTTTAAAAGACAATGCGTTTGTTGCTCGTTTTGTTCACCGAGGGTCTCTTTGAGCATACTGTACATCCCCACTACTTGCCACGAAATAGTTCATCTATGACAGTTACTAAAGGAGATCTATATTCAACGAAACTACTACGAATTCGATTCTGTGTGGTTTAGTGTTGAAAAAATAGTGATTGGAAGCAGGTCGAGATATTCTTAGTGGATAATAGCTGTATTGCGCATACTCAGAAGAATCCCACGAATAGCAAATACAAGTCGGTGTAGTGGTCCCGTATGAATAGTTACTGGATAAAAAAACATTCAGCCGACCTTTAATAAACTATCATCGATGAAAAAAAAATTCTTGTTTTAAAAGACCGTTAACAGTCAAATAACTGAGAACTTGCTAAACAGAGCAGCTGTTAGTTTTTGCTAACACACTAGTCTTACTCGGAGCTTCCCGGAAAAGACCTCAAGAGGCCATCCCCCCCACCCCCTCGGAAACTGCGTTTTTTGGACCCCCCCCCCCTCGGAATTTCCATTACCCTCCGTAGGGGGGTATGGATATTTTCTGCAACTACACAATGGAGCACCTTAAAACCTTTGATTCCAGAGTTAAGACTGGTGTTTATGTATTTACACAACGTGGAGAATGATGTTGCAGTCATCTCATCAGTATTTTAGTGTGGTCAACGTCTTCTTGAGTTCTCGGCGGTTGATCAAAAAATTTCGATGGTGAATTATTGTTTTTATATTCATTTTCCTTTCCTTATTGCCCTGGGCCCAGTTGTTCGAAGGCCGATTAGCGCTTAACCTAGGGTTAAATTTAACCCGGGTTTCTTTTTCTTTTATTCAAAAGCATTTTCTCGGATAAGTTTCTCCGTTATTTTTAAGAGCATCCAATCATCAACTTGCCGACAGAAAGAATTAAACTGAATATACTTTTTAAGCGTTCAAATCTGAATTCAAATTTCGCACTAACCCCGGGTTATCTTAACCCAGCTTTGAACAACCGGGCCCTGGCCTTAATCTTCCGGTTCATTTTCATAACGCGCTGTCTAACAGCCTTTCAAGAAACTAGGTTTTACGTCAACCGTCCCATAATAGAAAAAAGTATGGAAGAGTGACGTCAATAGGAGAAGATGTTGCGGTAATACTTTTCAAAAATAGCGGAAATTTAGAAATATAGGCTTACCGTGTAAGTGCTGGATCTAAAAAAGCTGTTTCATTTTGTTGTTTACGTAAAACCTATCGCGTATGATCTTTTTCACCGAGCATATAACAACGCCAGCACTAGCAGAAGAACAACACAAACACTGAGATTGCCAGGAATTTAATGATCAAAATTGGAACAAAAATTCTCAATCTCAACAAAATGAATAAACCAGCAAAGTTATTCTACAGTTACTTTAAGAAAAAGAATTGGGTTTCAAACATCACTTCGTAGATCTTAGTACATGGCTGCGAGAAGAAAAAACCAACGAGTTAATTTACGAAAAAAAAAAAAATCCTAGCCTCATCGTGGCGAGGATGGGATCCCGGCCCGCGCCCTGGGTCTACCTACCCCCTTGGATTTACATTTGCTTCTTGAAAGGAATCCCGACATATTCAGAATAATTAGCTTTATTTGACGTCTTAGGACTTAAAAGCTTGAACAGCTGTTAAAAAACCTACGCTAACCTAGTTATTTTCCTTTACGGCTTAAGCTTGTGCTCGATGTTGTGGGTACCTGAACAAAAATCACGAAGAATAAACGTTTACCAGCCATTAAGTGGTGCTATTCTTTTTTTCTTTAGCTTAACCTACACTTCTCGGAGTAATGTCTTCAGTAAAAAATGTCTTTTAAAGGGAAGGGTCTACCTTAAATATGCTGAGCTAAATTATTCTTGAATATGATTGCCTGTAAATGACGTGCAGCTGGCACATAACCGTTGGTGCTACCATACAGCACTGTCCTAGATGTAAAGAATATACAGCAAAGTGCATGTGAAGAGGGACACAACGCTGACAGAAGCAAATGAGCCAGCATTACACAAATCTCCTTCACAGCAATGAAATTCGCAGGTGTCATCAGACCCACAGGCCTGGCCGTACAGATCGTTTTCCTTTTTACAGGTCATTTCAGTTTGGCATCCCTTTCGATACACCATGACATTCTTTCCTTGCATGATCAATTCAGTGGTAAACTTGCCGCACTTTGTTTGTCCTTCTACGCAGCGTCCAGACCAAGTGTTTTGCACGCAGTCGTCCATTGATTTTACGCTTCCACACATATAGCACTTCAATCTGTAACCTGAGAGTTGATATAAATGAAATATTTAATGATTTTTGACTCTGAAGATGACATATCGCACAGTTTGTCGAAAAGTCAATCTCTGTCAACAACAGTCCTCTTTAGACCACACCCACCCGCACAATCATATCCCACCCACTTATAAATATATAATCAGCTGTCAACAAAGTACAAGATATTGTGGAGTTTTAGTGTTTAATTTCCGAAAAAAGTGAAGCCTCCAGAGACTGCGGTCCTCAAAGAGACGCAAAACGAGGCTCCCTTGTGTCTGTAAGACACTATGGCCCTCTTATAAATTTTGAAATTTGCTGTGATGGTCACCTGATACAAAATAAGCAAGAAACGAAGTTAGTGAAAGAAAGTCAAGAGCTTGTTGGACGAGGCTGGATGAGGTTGTTTCGCTAAGGTTCAAATGAGTTTAAACTTTCGAGCCCGTTCAAACGGATACATAAGACCCTTAAGGTTCCAAGGTACTTCTAAGGTACTTCCAAGACGTCAACATGGTCATACCAGAAGAATTAATGACTTTGTAACTTATAAATTTCAGTGAATGTATGTAAATGGTTAATTGTATGTGACAATGACTTTCCCCAACAATTCAGTTATTCCTGCAAGTGGGTGAAATAAACAGAATATCTATCTATCTATCTACAATGTTGCTTGTTCTCCAGGTTGCCGTTCTCGTGCCATGTGACTTACCAGCATGTAATGGGCTAATTTAAAACGAGATTGTATCCTACTACCTACCGGTCATCCTGGAGATGATCCTATAGTGTGATTAACAACAATAAAATTCAGTTTTAATGTTATAACAAAGAGAGGCACCATACTTTTTGGTGGAGGTGTATTGCAAGACGTTGTGTTGCAGCATTGGGACATACAGTTCGTCCTGGCGTTGTTTTTCTTGACCGCTTCACAAGATTTGTTAGCCATCTTGCAGTCCCGATCAGATGCGCACCCATATAAACCAGATTCTTTGCCGTCTTTACTCATCATCACTTTCAAGCATCTGTTCTGGCCTATTGCACAAGACACGTTTTTAGCGCTCATGCTGTTACATTCCTCCATGTTACCACTGCACTGGAGACATTTAAAGGCAAAGCCTGTAGGAGAATGTTCTACGTTGGTTAGTCGGTACTAATCAATATATGTTTTTTGTTATATTACCTCAAGCCTCGTTGTCAAGAACGATATTTAGTATTTTGAAATTAGATCTTGTTGGTTCTAATCTTCCCAATCAATCGTTCGAGGTTTAAATCCCGCGAAAACTAGAGACGCGAAATTCATAGTTCTGCGGGAAAGAATTATTCTGAATTCAGAAATGGCGGAGGCAAGAGCGGTTTTTTAACTCAGCTGTCGAAACAAGTCTTTTGAAATTGGAGCGGCTGGGAATGTCGCGTGTGTTACGCAATGAGAAATTCAAAGCGATTTCCACTCTGCCATCAGGACAAGATTTGCTTGCAGTTGTAGAAGGCCTAAATGTAATAAACGAGCAGATTCATCAGTTATTCTAGAATTTATAGCGCTTCGCGTGAAGGCGCGTTGAGATGGTCCGTTTGTTTTGTGGCCAGCCTTTAATTCTTCTGTAGTGGATAGTACCTACAACTGCAAAACTCAACAAAATGCCACTTAAACCGGCCAGGAAAGACAAGGATACGTTCAGTTAAACGTATCTTAGCTTTGTTTTGTTATATTTTGACTTTTGGACTATTTTAGTTCATGGGAACTTCGACGACTCATCATATTTTGTCCATATGAATACTAATATATTCATTTGACACATACTACGTCTGGGCCGCCTGTGGTTATCCACGTGAGTGTAAATATCAAAAATAAAGTCGAAAACGACAAAACCTTTTTGTTGTTTTTTTCTCTCTCTAAAAGTCCGGGCGGCCATGCGATTTTCTTCCGTTGCAATTGGGTTGTTTACCTGTTGATTGACTAATTTTATATTGATGTGCCTGTGGTGCGGAAGGTCGGTTGCTCGGGCAGTGTACGGTCACGTGATTAGCTATGGGGCTCCGCACGCGCGCTCTTTGCGCGCGCGTGGAGCTCCGCTATTAAAAAAGGAGACTCAGGCTACAACAACATACTCACTATGGAATGGCGCTTATTGAAAAGCATCCGCGTAAGACCGTTGGTCCCTTGACTATTTGCGCGCTTACTAAGGGTGCCGACCCATGTCGCGTCCTTTGACTCTCTGAGTGAAGTGTTAGCTTGTTGTTCCCACGATTAAAAGATAATTTAACTTAAGCAAATCGATACTTTGTCCTCTGCGAGATGATCGCGAGATGCTTTCCCACTACTCTTCTAGCTTTTTAATAGGAACTCCAATCGCTCAACTAGTAAATTGTTTTGACTTTAAAAAAATAATAAGGATTTAGGCCAGTAGAATGTATAGAATACAAGAAAAACAAAAAGAAAGTCGAAGGATTGTGAATTGCACTCGGAGTTGTTTTTTTCAGCATGCAGATCCATCAAACTGAAATATCCTGGCTATTTTTAGGCTGGTGGCGGGATGCAAAATAAAGACAGACTGAAGAATTGAAAATTAAGGGAAGACAGTTGGTATCACCGAAACATGCCGAAATGCATTATAAGGATACCTGTGCCGGGTACTTCATGAAAGTAAAATCCTCGAAGTTGGTGAAAATCACAGGAGCTCTTAAACAACGCAAGGGCGCAAGGGTAGCGCAGTGATGAGAGCACTCGCCTCCCACTAATGTGGCCCCGGCTTCAAATCGCTGCGTCGAAACCATATTTGGGTTGATTTTTTGTTGGTTCTCTCTCTTCCTCCCAGAGGTCTTGCTACGGGTACTCCGATTTCCCCCTCTCCTCAAAAACCAACACTTCAGTCCAAATTCCAATTCGATCTGGAACGCACACGTTTTAACGAGTTCATAAGAACGTTTAAGTGTTTTGCATGTAAACAAATTACAATTTCCATTTTTTCAAATTACAATTACAATGAACTCGAATGCTAAGCTAAGACGAAGCTCAGTACCTGCATGTCACTGCATACACGTACGAGTAGAACTACGTATTAAGTATCATAATAGACCTTGTCACGGTTTTCGACGCCATCTTGACGAGTAGGCAAAAGCGTGAGAAATTACAGTGATTGTATGAGAATCTAACGTCGAATAATTTCCGTAGAACGGCTGTTCTGAAAAAAAAATATGATTTGCAAACTAAAGCTTCACTCCTAAGGATTCTCTCGAAAAAGTTTGAGGGCGTTGCATGCACTAAAAGACCTAGAACCACTTTTTAAAATTTCCTATGCATTTGTCTGTACGGAAAGTCCCGGGAAAATTACAGACCAATATAAGGAAAATCTAAAGAAAGCCTCTTGAGAAATTTAAGCACAGGTACGCCCCCAATTTTTTTTAGGACAATCCTTTGCTTTGTAGCTGTAGTTTACAATTGATATTTTGTTCAGAACAGCCGTTTTACGAAAATTATTCGACTTTAGATTCTCATACAAACACTGTAATTTCTCACGCGTTTGCCTACTCGTCATGATGGTGTCGAAAACCGTGACAAGGTCTATAGGTATCATTTGAACACTTTTGAAATATTACATAGTGTAATCTGTACATCATGAAGATAACTTTCTGTTTATCAGATGAAAATAAACAGTGAGAGCTCTTAAACTGAACAGTATTGCAAAATACTAAGAAATAAGAATGCCTAACTGAAAAAGTGTAAAACTATACTCACTTTCATTGGAAGGCGTTCGAGAAGAGGTTGTTGTTTGCAGACAGGCGACCGTAGAGGCTTTAAAAAATAAAATAAACTTAGAGTTAGCTAGTGCTCATAAAGCTCATGTTTCGCACATTCACAAACAACAACAACAACAAAACTTGTAAACGAACTGTTGCCGCAGCGATTCAACGGGAACAATCAAAATGTAGGATTTCGAGAATTCTGCCCTCTCCTTGATCGAAAGGCTTTCCAGAGGCTGAAGTTGGTTGCACAGTGGTGACCGAAGAGACTTGAAAGAAATATAAAATTTTGAAATTAAACCAAATATAATACGTTACGAAAACGTTCTAAAATTCCTTTATTACGCTGTGTACGGTATTCATAAAAACAAAAACATCGAATTTGGTGAAAAGTACAGAGCCTTAAAACCACAAAATAATGAGTAATACTAAGCTAAGAACCAAGTCCAATTATAAGTAACTGTGTAAGACTATAAAAACCTTCTTACTTTGATTGGATGTCTTCGGAAAAGCTGATGTCGGTTTTACGGAGGTCACTGTTAAGGCTTAAAAAACATTAAATTCAAAATAAGAATCAATACTTAGTATTACCAGAACACAGCAAGTCAAATGCTGGGGATTAATGAGTTTGGTACAGTGGAACCCCTCTCACGGATACCCGCATAAACTGGGTTCCACTGTACTTCATAAGAATAAAATTCTGGAATTGATGATGTGTGTTTTAGTAGTTCCTTTTTAAAGCTTATAATTAAAGTACAAAGAATAGTAATGATGAAAATGCGTACTAGACATACTGATATACTCACTTTGATCGGGAAAACTTCGGGAAGCTGTTGTTGATTGTACAGTAGTGACCGGAGAGGCTTTAAAAAAATAAACTTTAATTGTAAGATCAAATGTTATGCTGAGTTTTAATGGAAGATGTTGAAAACATGGACGGAAATTTAAAGGAAGACTAAAACCAAGCAATTAAGTGCAAAATACTATGAACCTGGACCAAAAAGACATACTCACTTTGATCGGAAGGTTTTTGAGAAGCTGTTGGTGGTTGTACAGTGATGGCCATGGATCCTTCAAAAAAAAATCGGCATCACACTTTAAATTAGACGAAACACTAGGTATTGCCAAAACGTGCAAAAACTGCATTCAGGATACCTTTGTTTAGTACCATTGTATCCTTACATTACTTATTTATTGCTTAGAATTGTACTTCGGTTGTATCTTGGTACGTGTGCGAGTACAATTTTATTTTGAGGGCGCGCTTTATTTGTTTATTTATTTAATTGACGTGTACATTTGGTTAATTTTTCCTCACTAATATGTGTTGTCCGTGACTGTGCTCACATGGTGGGTGGCTCCTCCTAAAATGTTCTGCAATTGGTATAGGATTTACTGGAGCCGAAACCAATTGTGAAATTGCTCGCATTTCAGGCATCCTACTGATGAACAGTTGCGACACGTAGAGATATATTTTTTAGCAACTACTATAATTTGGCCCTCAATTTGCAGTCTGTCCACTTTGAATTGAAAAAAGAAAATCCTCGATGTTGGTTCAAATTACAGGTGCTCTCAAACTGAGAAAAGATGCGTGTATACTCACTTTGTGGGGAAGTTTTTAGAGAAGCTGTTATTCGTTATACATATACAGTAATGACTGTTAAGCTATAAAACCTAATACCAGTTATTACCAGAACAAAGTTAAATGCACTTTAAGGATTCGCCAGTTCAATACTTAATGAGAATACAAATGTGGAAGTAGATGAATTTTAATAGATTAAGTGATCTCAAAACCGGGCAGTGTTGCGTAATAATAAGAAACGAGCTCACATAGCTGCATATAAACCGAGCAACATTTCAAAATACTAAGAAATAAGACTGGCTAACAGAAAAAAGTGCTAAAATATACTCACTTTCATCGGAAGGCGTTCGAGAAGCGGTTGTTGTTTGTAGAGAGATGACCGCAGACGCTTTGAAAAATAAATGAAATTCAGAATTAGTTAGCGCTCATGCAGAAAGCCCATGTTTCACTCATTCACAATTAACAACAACAACACTTGTAAACGAAGTTGCCACAACGATTCAACGGGACCAATCAGAATCCAGGATTCCTAGCGCCCTCACCTTGAACGAGAGGCTTTCGAGACGCTGATGATGGTTGCACAGTGGTGACCGGAGAGATTTTGGAAAAAAATCAAATATAAATTTTTCGAGAGCTCCGCTAAAATTCAAACTACAAAACTATCGATCCTTCCGAGATTTTACTTTCACAATGTATTAGAGCAGCAGAAAACTAATTTTCAAACAAATTTTAGCTTCAAAAGGGTTCTTGGTTTTGTGATAGAGTACGCTTGAATTTCTAAGCTTTTGCGTCACGCGGCATTTACATGATGGCCAAGAGAGCTGTCATGTAGGTTAAAAAAATGACTTATTTCAGGGAATTTTGCTATCTAAACAGTTCATGTATTAGGAAAAGTATTACTTTAATGTTTGAAGAGTTCCTCGAAGAATAAATTCACGGTTTTCTAGCAAAACTCGGTAACAGATGTTTCTGTTGGTTTCCGTTCGCCATGTTGGTGCCCATCCGGATGGGCACCATTATGATGTCTCCATACTAATCTCTATTAATTTTGTGAAAACATTTCTTCGGATATCTCCTATACGAAATATTCCTCTGGCCTGAATCTTGGCGAGGGTCTTTGCATATTTACCTCCTTTTTATTTCCCAGATTCTGGACTTTATCTATTGAAAGCTTTTGATTTTTATTTTGATCTATTTTGAATGGGTGAGGACAAAAGATGGACCAGGTGTCCATGGACCCCCTCTTTGGACCGGGTCCATGGACCACTTTCATGGACCGGGTCCATGGACTCCCTGTCATGGACCAGGTCCATGGACAGTTTTTTAATTTTTATAAGAAGGTTTTGCACCAGGTCAATGGACACTCAAAAACAGAAAATAGTGCCAAAAAAAGATTTGACGAGACGCTGTCGACCAATGCTCACGATTGATCACAAATATTTAGTTGTGCTTACATGACGTACACTCTGCTTGCACATGTGCAGTCGCAAGACTGTTAAATTAAGTAATTCAAAAGTTATCACCAAGGGAGGAATTACACGCTTCGGTACAAACACTTGCATCACCCTTAGAAAAACAAGCTGGAGTTAAGAATTCATTGCTTTTAGAGCAATCATGACTGAGTCACATCGCAATTCTCCATAGCTGTTGTAGCTTCAGTTTAAGCTACAATCCATGCCACTTCTTCTTCTTCTTGATCTGGATCTGTAAATCACTATCTGTGAGAATTTATAATCGTCCTGCTAAAAGCGCTAAGGACCTGGGCCCAGCGTGACAAAACATTGCAGGAAAAAGTGACATTCGTGGACAAAAAGAAAGTGGCTTAGAATTATTCAGATCCAGGATGCACTTTGGAGAAATTAAACAACCCAAAACCCTTTTAATCAGCTGCAATAAACAGCTTTACATTTAAAAGAGGTAGAAAATCAATATGTGTGTCACGACCTCTCAGCATGAAATAAGCGGCAAAAATTCACATTTGCTCAGTCAAAAGGTTTTCGTCCGAAGCATAATCTACCCATCAGAGAAAACAATTCATTGGAACAAGCATCATTTTGCTTGAGGTATCGACCCCCCCCCCCTTTTTTTACACTATGTAAGCACAATTAAACATTACTGATCAATCGAGCATTGTTTGTTGTTGTTGTTTTTTTTAACCTTATTTTTGCACTATTTCTGGTTTTGTTCATTTCTCATTATTAAAAAAAACTGTCCATGGACCCGGTCTATGACAGGGGGTCCATGGACCCGGTCCATGAAAGTGGTCCATGGACCTGGTCCAAAGTGGGGGTCCATGGACCCCTGGTCCATGTTTTGTCCTCACCCATTTTGAATGGCGTGACACCGAAAACCAGCAATTGTCTGATTACAGTTTTGGTATTCACAGACGAAAGGAAGACTTTAAAAAAAAGAAAGATGTAACGTACCTTTTGAGTTACATAAGGGAATGTCAAAGATCATAATAACCGTCAAAAAATAAATATCCGATCAGTTTCGTGAAGCTTCAGTGTAACTATAATTTCAGTTATTTCTATACAAGAAAGGAAATCACTTTTGAAGTCGCTACTTTTGGCATCAGTTCCATAGCCTGTTCCAGGCGTTCGGATGGTGGTCACTTCTCTTGCGCTGTCCCCACGATTTGAACGCCTGGAACAGGCTGGCATTTTCTAACACCTGTGAAATTTTATCGCTACTTTCGAAGGGTCGTTACTTTGGGAACTTTACGGTATTGTCCCTAAACCTTTTCCAAAGACAGAAAAACCTTTTGACTTAAGATATACTGTTGAAAGCGTTTAATAGTCCCTTAATCTGCAATGGGTATATCCCATTACGGCGAGAAACAGATTTTTTGACTCTGTGTGTTAGTAAAAAGACTTAGAACTAGACCGAACCTCATGGCCTATGAATGAAAACTTCATAGAAACATATCGATTCAATAAGAACTCTTTGATTAAACCAGGTCATCTACGTTGCCGACATTAAAACTTACCCTCTTCTGGGCAGAAAAGCAAACCTGTGATCAGGAGAATAATTTGCTTCATCGCCATTTTGGATCAGTATACTCGATTTAAACTGCAGTAGAGATTTTAGCGAACAGATTTCGTTTTAAAAGGGGTCAAGTAAATTCACTGGACTGCATGATTATTCAGATTTCCATTTCGAAACTAAATTAAAACACAAGGACTTTTATTTGTTCCTGCTCATGGCCGTGATCGTAAATTACTTTCAACCACGCTATGTCATTATCAGCACGTTTTCAGAACAGGTGTTTATTTGAATGATACGCAATAGAACACTGTTCTTTTGCACATAACACGCAAAATTATTTGGTAAAACCGAGATCAAACTCAAAAACTTTGTTTTGAAACTTTAGAACACTTCGTAACGTCGTGACGCCTAAATGCTTCTTATGACATGACGATAGCTTGTATACATCTCACTCAATTGGTCAGGAATTTCTATAATTTCATACGTTTTTTTCATAAGGTCCACGGGTTTTCTTGCCTGGTGAAAAGGTCTAGGTTCAGCATCATGACTTCCCATCTCAAACCCAAAGCTCTTTCTTGCGGTTTCGTAGTGTAAATTAAGGAAGCCAGACACTTATAATTATGGTTGGGCACACATCCAGCCGTCTCAACCAAAGCAAACCATTTTCAGTTCCGTTTTCGTCTTTATTGTCTTATTCTTGTCATTTTACAGTTTCAGCTCGTCCGGTCGCTTACGTACCGTTGGGCTAAATACGAGCTGTAAGAACAGGAGAAGAGAAATCTCAGTCACTTTGATTTTGCATTAACAAGATGGAAGTATATACAGCCGCACGCACAAGATTTGAGCCTCTGCGGCCAATTAATAACATCAGAAGCATCTAATGAATAACATCTGATACGTACCCCACATTCCTTTGAATCGCTCTTTTTCCATTGTCGCTATTGAGGTAAAAGTCTAAGAGTATAACCGAATACTGATGTTTCCAAAGTAAACTACCTACATGAGACTTTTACTAACAGAGGGTGCACTTGACGGTTTCGAAGACTATGGCGGCCGTCTGAAGTTTAAAACAATGTAACAAAGAATATGTATTCTTAACGTAAATCTATCAACATATTATGACTTGATTGTAGTAATCTCACACAAAAATTTCAGATAAAAAAATTCGTGCAGGAAATGATCAAAGATACATGCAAGAAATTCTCATTCTTATAACGTGGGTTTATCCGTATCTGCTGTCCCGTCCTAGACTACGAGTAGTCCCCCATTTTTCCTCAGAGATAGTAGAGCGAGCAAAACGCGAGTGCGCGTGAAAATCACCCCACGCGAGAAAAGGCAACTGATTTTTCACGCCCGCTCGCGTTTCGCTCGCTCTACTATCCCTGAGGAAAAATGGGGGACTACTCGTGGTCTAGTCCCGTCCCTTTGCTAAATTTCCGCTAGCCCCAGACTTAGCAAGAAGACGAGTCGTTCACGTGGTACAAAACCGCCATACTGGAGAGCAAGAGATGCACTGAGACAAGACAGACAAAGGAAATTATGATTTTAAATGATATGAGGTTTTTGTCTAGTTCCATCCTTTCGAGCACGGCGTTTTTTTTTACCACGTGAATGACCAGCTGCAAAGGAGATATCGGAGGTTTAGGAATATGGCTTAACCCCTGAATCTCTTGGATGTGTTTTTCTACGCCCAGGGTTCGCACGCACCTTGAAATTCCTTGAAAAAGTCCTTTGCATTTTAAAATAAAAATTCAAGGCCTTGAAAGTTCTTGAAAATTGCAGTCGTTACTGGAAAGTCCTTGGATTTCATTGCTAAGGGAAACTGTAAAGGAAAAGGAACAAACACAAAGACCTTCGGGATAAAATTCTCCTGATGTGGAAGAACTAAAAAAAAGACAGACTCTAGGCTCTTTTTTTGCGTTCAATGGAGTCCTTGAAAAACGCGAAATGTGTCCTTGAAAAGTCCTGAAATTTTTTGTTCAAAAAAGGGTACGAACCCTGTGGGTTAACCACTTTTACGACTGGTCTTGAAAGTGGTGGATGTGATACAACTGAGAAAGTATAATGTTCCCGACTTGCACACGAGAATCGATTGGCCGCCACCCTTGCCGGGGAAATTCACCCGTTTTCCTGCAGGGAAGACCGGCCTCGAAATGGCAACAAGACGAGTTTTTGCCTCGCCGCATGAAGTCAAATATAGAGGCTTCGTGTAGAGATATACAAAGGAACACAGAAGTCACGAAGATCTTTGGCATTATTCTCTATAGGTTACGGTCCATTGCTCCTCTTGTTTGTTTACTGTTTTCTCACCCAAACCTGAAGAGAACGTGGTATGCGGCGACTTTTGGCTGTCTTTTCCTATATCAACTATTCCAGTCCTCATCTATAAGGGTAGGTTATTTTTCTAAAACAAAAATCGAGCTTCAAGAAATAACAACTCATGACAATTTTAAAAGCGTTTTTATTTTCATCTAAATCATACTTCAGATCAAGAAGAACATGGATTTCAAGAGGTGATAACTAGTTACTGGTCATCTCCTTTTTGAGCCAACCCATAACATATTTCACTCTTGCATATACGCCATACTTATTTGGTCTAGCGCATCCCTGACCCCAGCTTGTTACTCCCTGAAGGTAAAATCTCCCGCCTTCCTCACACACCATCGGGCCCCCACTATCTCCCTGACAGGAATCAATACCGCCCCGATCCAGACCAGCGCAGATCATGGAGTCATGAATCCGTCCAAGATAAGCCCATTCACAGCGGTTTCTGCCAACAATAGGCACTGACGCCTGTTGTAAGGTAACTGGACTAGAGCCTCCAATGGGTCTGTTCATTCCCCAGCCGGTGATCCAACATTTCTTGCCTTCTACAGGAGCTGGAACGGATCCTGGAAGGCATACCAAGTTGACGAACCTATTGTTGAAATACATGAAAAGCAATTCTGCGAGTTTGTCATTTATCATTAAACACGTGTAAACCCTTACTAAGATTTTTTTTAGGTGCCAACTGGTGGCTGTTTTCAAGAGCCTGATTAGGCTACCTTACTTTAGGCCACATGGTCCACTTTCTAGGAACAATTGACCTATGTGCTGAAATGAATCTCGGAGTGGGTGGAATAGATATTTGATTGGGCTGTCTTGGTTTCAATTGTCCCCTCCTGGATCTCTTGTCTTTTTGTTTCGTTTTCTATTTTCCACCCTAACCTGCCACACTTCCCGTCTATGTAAAATCCTGTGACAAAAACCAGTCATTAGCAATTCGCACTTTCTTAAAAAAATCTGTTTGACAGTCCTTACGCCATAGATAGACAAGTTGTTATTCCGAAAATTTAACATATTCTACGATTGCATTACGTCTCTACTGAGCTTACTTGTTCAGCGCCGCCGGTCGGTCCAGTTTGAGAAGGGCAATGTCATGGCTCATACCAATGGGTTTGTGATAAAAGGGGTGCATGATCACTTTAGCTACTCTGAAGTCTTGTTCTGTACCCACAAGGTCTGTTCTTTTATGGGCGCCAAGTCTTTCAGAAAGGAAAAAGAATATTTAATTTAACATAATGGAAGTGCAAAGTGCCCTGACTATAAACCCTTAATTAGTGCGATTTAAAGTTTAAGTCACCAGATAGTACTTGGACCATGGCATACCAACACGAGGTGGATTTATCTACGCGTCAAGACTGAGCTCCCATAAGCAAAACTGCAATAGAGCTGTTACAGAAAGCAAAATAAACTAGAAATGGTTTACCAACAAGAGCGGTCGTCACAAATGAAAAAATTGAATAAAAATTTTGTCTTGTGAGGATTGTTATTGGGCTTTTCCTCTGTCAGAATTTCTTCCTTGATGAGTCTCTAGATATGGGTAAGTAGGGACCGAATAAACTTCATTTTAACCCGTTTATATCCATAATATATATGGATGTAGGCATTAAGTGATGTACATATACATAACGGTGTACCAGATTGACTGTAAGGGTGCTCAGTATTTAAGCGAGAAATAGATAAAATGAATGACTTATACCGAACGTAAATGGAGGCTGCCGAAGTTCCTTTAACACAATGACTAGCTGTAACTAGCCACTGAGGAGCAACCAATGATCCACCACAGAACACGTAACCATTTGGAGATGACGTCAACATGGCCTGCCATGGCCAGTCTCCTGGAGATGAGTCCACACCACCAACAATTCTTGTAGAGGGACGAATGCCACAATTACCTAACAAAATAACATTTGCATCTGATTTTGGGCAGAGTCTTATCTAAGAGATGAGCTGGTGCTTAATGTCCTAGCGACCTCCGCTGATGGAGTAGCGTGCAGAATTTTGGGTGCAAATTTCTTGGTAACTTACCGAAAGGAGGAAGAGGTGTCTCTGGCGCTTTTGTTGTAGTGCTTGGTTGTGAAGGTGGTGGAACAGCTGTTGATGAAAGCGACGTATGAAATTTGTTATACATTCATAATGTTTGGCTGTTTTTGTAATTGCTAGACATGAAAGAAAGCGGGATTGAGGGTACTTACTTCCGTCACCTCCTCCCCCTTCCCCACAGGTTTCTGTCTTGATCTCATCGATAGCAATGTCTGAAAGGTAGCCCCTACCAACAACACCCTCAAACACAACCTGTCAGATGAAAGAGAAGCGGATAAATATTAAGCCAAAACACGAATTCTTAGTGGATTCGTAGTTAACGCTGCCTCTTTAGTATGACAGCTATTAGTTTTGAACACACTTGAAGATATCACCAACAGAGATACTTTCTCCTTCCCCTTCTCTCTCTGAGAGTGATGCCAGTCTTCTTAAGCGCTACCCCCAGCATAACTTTCGTTTATATACCAGGCGAAGAGCAACCCGCATCCTTACATGCTTGCATGTTAAGAAGGTGATACCACCCATCACTTTTCTACTTGTTAAGGTTAACACTTGGCACATTTCAAATACTTAGCTTAACTCTGCGATGTCGCTACTTTTACTCAAGTGAGTCTTTTGAAATACGCCATTATTCTAGCACCATCTTCCAAACGCATGATTAAAAAGGCTGTTTATAACCCTTGGCAAACGCCATCCCTCAGTCACTTCATTGTGTCATTTTGAAATTTTGAAGTTATAACTTTTAAATTAATATTTTACATTCTCGAAAGTAAGTTGTCCGACCCGTTCCCTGTATTACTAGCTCTGAAGAAGACAGACGTTTCTGCCGATTCATGTATATTTGTGTCATTGATCAAGCTTGTTCGGTCATTTGGTTTGATATTGGTCAAATTATTGTTTTTTCCTGCATGTTTTATTGATCAAGACGAAGTGTGGTTTTTTGCCACACCAGAGCTGATGTTCAAATGTCGTGAGCCACTGCTCATGCAACATACACATACGCTTTAGCTTCCTTTTGTACTCTTACCGACGATATGCCCTCGCGATAAGTAAGTTCAGCTTTATGCCATGTGTTTCCCTGATTTCCGCTTTTCTGGAAAACAGTTTCTCCATTTATGAGAACACGAAGTGTACCCATGTAGTTGTGTCCTCCATGCATGTTGTAGAAGAATGACAGACATGTTTTACCAGTAGGTAAACCAGATCTCAGTTCTAGCTTAGCGTTGTCACCTTTCCTTCGTCGGGATGCCTCTACGTACATGTAATAACCTAGAAAAAAGTAAGTTATGAATTAAGATAACCTTTGTTTTATTAAAACATAAGTAAAAGTAGGTAAAATAACGACCACTTTGCCATGCTACCTTCTTCCGAACAAGGTAGCAGCATTATTTCAAGCTTATCCTCCATGGGCATTCGAGTATTTTCCTTGCATTATATCGTCTTTACTAAATTTACCTTTTCCGCTAACATCAGATTCAGGTCCTGTTCCGCCTGACGGTGTCACGCCTCTTTTTCTGACCCAGTCAAACTTGTCATCTCGTCGCTGAACAAATTCACATTGGTTGCGGTCAAAATTGCAGTAGAAGGCTTAAAGATGAAATATTTGATGTTAGATAAAAAAGAGAGCTTGGCTCTTTTAGAAACGAGAAGGGGACTGGAGCCGAAATGTGTCCCACAATTGTTTGTGGGATTGTTACTGGGGACACGCCAGTCAGCTATTGGCTGACCCTTAGCAACAGTCCGAGAAATCATTGCGAAAGTTTCCTTCTTGTTTCTAAAGTGGCGAATTAAGGATCTTGATTCTGGACTAGGTGAGAGTACTACTTTCCAAACATTTTTCATGGCTCTGATCCCTTTAAGTCCGGCATACTCGAAGACAAACCTTTAAGATGCTAATCCCAACCACCTTGCCTTGAAAGCAAAAGAATACAATACACTTTTGCTACTTTTTTCACGTCCCCCCTTTCAAAGATTAAAACTCAAAGTTATTTCTCGGGTTACTTGGGCTCACCCTCTTACCCAGGGCGCTTTTCCATGGCCTTGGAGGTGAAGTGGCTCCAAAGCTATGGAAAAGCGCCCTGGGGACGAGGTTGACATGGGCTATGTTCACACTAAGTTATCCGTTATAGTATGAACACCTATCTGACATGTGATTCTCCACTTTAGAGATTGGCGTGGCGCAGCTTCGCCCCGTCACATAAATCGTACCACCACAACCGTTCCTATGTGTGACCAGAAGCCCTATCCCCTATGATTCTCGTGGCGGCGCGAAAGTGCTATCCAGCAAAGTTTGAACACAGCCTAAGAGTGCCACGAACAAAAAATAGAACCCAAGATATCATAACGGAGTGAACATCACCACCCCAACCGCACCACTGAAAAGCTCTTGAATTCCCACAAAAAAGGGAGGAGAGGCTGTTTATGATTTTATTTTGATCATGAATAGATTTATTAATATACATGTTTAGTATTTACCAAATCAGTGAATAGCAGTTCTCGTGCCTTTTGATTGGCTCCCGTATCTCCGAATATCCTTGGCTATTCAGTGTTTTGCAACCGGAGCCAAGATGGCGTCTCGTCTCGAGACATTTTCGAAAGAGATGATTTTCAGCGATAAATGAAGCAGTCGTACAAACAAATATCAAGGAAGCGACGAACTTTGGCTTGTCAGTGTTTACTGGTAGGTAGAAAATTATTTTCATGCTCAATTTGCAACAAAATAATAACACAACAAAAAGTTACTTGTTTCATTTTTATCCAACTGATTCGGTAAATACTAAAACAACTATCCCCTTCAGGGTCGGTGAACAGCGCTGGATATATACCTCGACGCTTCGCGTCTCAGTATACCATAACTATTCACCTCCCCTTCGGGGGATAGTTGTATAATATTGAACATCTCCACCTCAACTGGACCACTGAAAGTGCTCTTGAATTCCCACAAAAAAGGGAGAAGAGGCTGCGTATGATTATATTTTGATCAAGAATAGACATATTAATTTACCAGTGAAAACGTTTTAATATTTTAGATGAGCTCCTAGTGACCTTTATTTTTTTTGCAAGTTCAAGTATAAAGGCCATCCTGCAATACATAGTTCACTTCCAAGGTATAAAGGAAAATTGATCAGATATACCAATAAGAAGACCTGTACCCCAAACGTTTTTGGAATGGCTTGCTTTTTAAAAGCTTATGTTTTCATTATAACTTTGCTGATTATACCAAAACTCAAAACAAAAAAATGTATACAGTGCTATACAAAAATGTGAATTTTTAGATCTTCAGTTTTAAGTACACTTTTTCACACTATAATCTTGTGAAGTTTTTTTCTTTTTATCATACTTTTCCTTTTTCGACCTGGTTTTAACATTCCATATGGATACATAGTGGACTACTGATTACACCAAAAATCAAAACAACAAAAATAGTACATTTACTGATTATGTTTGACCATCTTACCGTGGACCTGGATGACTAGCCCAACCACAAAGACAATCAGAATAGCTAGCTTCATTCTCAAAATCTTTTAACAGAGAGGAGTGCGCCAATTTAAAAAGCGCGTTCTGTCGTCAGCAGTGACAAAATACTGTTAACTTTGTGTTTGCTAAGAGTTTTACAAAACACAGTTGGTTAAATTTGTTTAAAATTTGTGTGCGTTTTGCTTTATGAAAAAGACAAAAATAATAATCATAAAAAGCTTAGCTTAAGAAAGATTTTCTCGATCTCCACATTCTCTTACTGCCCAATTCCGAAATACTCGTTAAAAAATATACTCTATTCAGGATGGGAAGCAAAACATCGTGATGTCATATGCTGTTTCTCATCCCTTTGTATTTTTGTAAAGTCCTTCTTGAGGTGGAACACACCTAATGTTTACTTTTGTCTGTCAGTTGTCATGATAAAGCATTCCAGCTGTCCAGATACCTAGAACCCGTTCTCTTTTTTCAGTAGCAGTGCTAACAATCTTTTCAGCAGC